TTTCTGGGTTTTGTTTTTATTAATGTACTTCTCTTTTTGTCCCCCAAGTCTGTATTATTTTATTATAGAGATCTGCTAACTTAGGTTAATGATTATTAAATGAAACTAATGATATTTCAAGTTATATACCTACAATCCATCAACAAATTACTGATCTACACATAGCTTATCATATTTCAAAGGCTACTCAAGCATCTTTTCTTGAAATTATGATTACATTTGCTGTTGGGATTACACAGTGTTAAAATTACAAAAATTTATTTTGAATTTTCATTATCTGCTCCAACAATATTAAATTAGTATTGAATTATTCTTGATACTCCCATAATGTTTGTGTACAAAGTATTTTTCCAGTTTAATTGAGATATAATTGACATATAACATAGTATTAGTTTTAGGTATACAACATGATGATTTGACATGCATATATTGTGAAATGATTACCACAATAAATTTAGTTAACATCCATCACCTCACAGTTACAATTTTTTTTGAGTGATGAGAACTTTTAAGATCTACTTAGCAACTTTCAAATATATAATACAGTATTATTAGCTATAGTCACCATGCTATACATTACATCCTCAGGACTTATTTATCTTAAATGGACTTTTCTCCTGGTTGTTAGTCATATTTTCCTACTTCCTGGTATGCCTGCTGATTTTTTATTGGAAATTCTCTATAATGAATTTCATACTGTTGGATAATGCGTCCATTTAAAGTGTGCTGCACTTGGTTCTGACACACCCGTAGGTTATTACAGATATTTGATCCTTTTTGCTTTTGCCTTTTGTTAGGGTGGGTCAAGAGCAGCTTTTAGTCTAGGGTTAATTTAGCCCTGCTACTAAGGTGAGAAACTTCTGAGGACTCTCCCTGATGTTCCACCTATTACAAAGTCTTTTCATGCAGGCTGGTGGGAGGGAGAACTGTTCCCAGCCTGCGTGAGCCCCAAGAACTGACCTACTGCTTCCCACTGGCTCTCTCCCTAGCACCCACAGAGCAGTGCCCCACCAGAGACCCGTCCGCAGCTATCCAGCATGGCTCCTCTGTGCCACTGGCTTCTTCCTAGACTTTTTCCCACAAATTCTAGCCACCTCGGCCTCTTTGAACTTCAGTCTCTTGTCCCTACAGCTCAATGAGACTGGCAGGTTCTGTTTGGGTTCCCACTGGTTGAACTGCAGCCTGAACACTCTGCCCAGGGCCAAACTCTCAGGTCTCTCTTTTTGATTTCTTTTTCTCTCAGGGCTCATAGTTCTCTGCGTCTGCATGCCAGTGCTCTCTCTCTCTTTTTTTTAAAGATTTTATTTATTTATTTGACAGAGAGAGAGACACAGCGAGAGAGGGAACACAAGCAGGGGGAGTGGGAGAGGGAGAAGCAGGCTTCCCACCAAGCAGGGAGTCTGATGCAGGGCTCAATTCCAGGACCCTGGGATCATGACCTGAGCTGAAGGCAGACGCTTAACGACTGAGCCACCCAGGCACCCTGCCAGTGCCCTTTTTTAAACAGTTTTTCCCCCCCATATATTTTGCCTGGTTTTCTAGTTGTTTATGGTGGGAGGACAATTTCCATAACAGTAATCCTTTGTGGGCAGACACAGAAGTCCCTTGTAGGGTAGTTTTACATGTGCTTCTCCGGGGCCCCAGACATTGGCCATTTTTATGGGAACTCTTGGCTTCAGATTCCTACACCATGTGGTGCTGTAAATTTGGACCCCACAAGCATGCAGTACTGGCTTGAGGAATCCGTTAACTTTGTTTTTCTACCCAGAACCACCCCCAGGCAGATGGCAGACTTCCGTGTAGCTTCTCCCCATCAGTTGGTGATATTTTTACCATTCCCAATTTTTTTATTAAGCTACCCCTCACATACCCCGGTTTGTGCAGGGCTTTGTTGTATACAACTGCACATCTTCAACAGTCGGAGCCACGTCTCTTGCTCTGACGTGGGTGTTAACTCTAGTCCCAGGCCAGAGGGGTTTTATCTAGGTAGAATTAATACTTTTGTATTATGGCATCAGCGCATATTTGATTTTTAGGTACTTGTGATGTTTTAGATCATTTATCCTATTCTCTTTTTTTTTAAGTTTTTTTTTTTAAGATTTTATTTATTTATTTGAGAGGAAGAATGAGATAGAGAGAGAGAGCATGAGAGGGGGGAGGGTCCGAGGGAGAAGCAGACTCCCTGCTGAGCAGGGAGCCCGATGCGGAACTCGATCCCGGGACTCCAGGATCACGACCTGAGCCGAAGGCAGTCACTTAACCAACTGAGCCACCCAGGCGCCCCTCAGCTTTATGATTTTAACTTACAATGTTTAACTGATTGTGATTTTGTTGTTGAAGCCTTACGGAGTTTATATACAAAATGAGAACATTTAAGAGAATTTTCCATTTCAATATGCTTAGTTATTTAAGTTTTTGGAAAGTTTTTGTTTGTTATGTCAGACGATAGTAGTACCTAAAATGGAAAGCAAATAGATTAATTTATAAATACAGTTTAATAAGTCAAAGGGAATTTAGATATTCTATTAAGGCACCCTTAACTCTTTTTTTTTTTTTAAAGATTTTTTATTTATTTATTTGACAGAGAGAGACACAGTGAGAGAGGGAACACAAGCAGGGGAGTGGGAGAGGGAGAAGCAGGCTTCCCGCTGAGCAGGGAGCCCGATGCAGGGCTCAATCCCAGCACCCTGGGATCATGACCTGAGCTGAAGGCAGACGCTTAACGACTGAGTCACCCAGGCGCCCCCACCCTTAACTCTTTTCAATGGCTAGATTTTTAAATAGAAAAATAAGATTTTAAAGCTAACCCTCAAGGATTTAGGAAGATCTAGATTTTAAATTTATTACTTTAATAGATTGAATATTAATCTTATAAAACAAAACTCTGAATAGTCTTTTTTGTGCTCCAATATGATCCTCTGTGTACCAGTAGCTCACATTTAGCAGGTCCAGATTCATGAATTCTCATGAGTTAGAAAGACTTTCAGCATCATTAAATGTTCTATTTTCCCCTGTAGAAACAGCAGCTTTTTACATAAGCCATCAAATCATAATGTAGTTGATTTATTTTGGTTGTTAAAATGGTTGAAATAATTCTTATTTTTGGGGAGAGAGAGCGGGGGGCGGGTAGTGCAGGAGGGGCATAAGGAGAGAGAGAAAATCTTAAGCAGGCCTCACACCCAGCGTGGAGCCTGACATGGGGCTCCATCTCACGACCCTGAGATCATGACCTGAGCTGAAATCAAGAGTCAGACACTTAACCGACTGAGCCATCCAGGCGCCCCTGAAATACTTCTTATAACCATCTTGTTGAGGAGTCTCAGCTTATGGAGCTATGAGTATGAAAGCATTTTTCTCCCTTGCTGCCACCTTGTTTCATCAAGACCCTCTGGACTGGATGGCAGGGATCTCAGTGATGCACACTTTGATTTCACAAGTTTTCACACAATTTCAGAACTTAGGACACACTGTTTTAAAATTGTATTTTCACTGCATTCAAAGTCCTTCTTGTTTTCCCTCTGGTCTGGGCTCCAGAGGTATGGAACTCAGGGCGGGGGTAGCAGGTTCTGCTCACGCACACACCTCCCTTCTTCCCTTCCCCCCACAATGGTGACTTTGCTGCTGGTTCTTATGAGGGGTGCATTTGGGGTTCTGAGGAGAGTCTTGGGGGCCTCTCACCTGCACAGCTCCTGCTTTTCTCCTTTCTCCTCTCTTTGGCTCCCCTGCTGGTGTCCACTTTCCTTTGGTCCCCTTGTCCAGAGAGAGCTCTCTTGCTGAAGGAAGGAAAGCTGCAGACTGCTCAAGGTCAGCTGCCCTTGGCGGGGTCCCTTTGACCCTCGAGAAGCCCATCAGCTTGCCATGCCTGTTAGCAACAGCACAGCATCTCTGCTGCCTGGTGTTCAATGTCATGGCAACAGCAGGGGGCACTTGGCTGCACAAGGGAATCAGACGAGAGGAAATTTCTAGTCCTGAATTTTACAAAGGAGAGGATGCATAGGTGTACCTCCCAACTTATAAGGGAGTCTGTTGTCCCATCCCTGACTTTTGGCAGGAGGATGGAGAAGGGAAACCTCTTTTTATCATAACTGTTTTCCTCCAGTGGTGTGTGAGTGAGCACAAGTGTGCATGTTTGTGTGTGTGTGTGTAGGGGGTGTGAGTGTGTGATGGTGATGGTGGTGGTTGGGGGGAGAGATGGGGGAGAACCAAATTTCCTAAAGCATAATGCTGCCTGTCAGCGAGCCCTGCAAAGAGAGGTGGCTCCAAAGCTGGCAGTTCTCTGAACTCAGAATCAGGGTTCTTTTTTTCTAGCTGTGCGCCCTTAGTCGCCAATTCTGGCAGTAGACTCCCACACCGTCTTATTATCCTTAATTGACACATTACATGCAATTACTTCGGGTATCTTAACAATGGAATCGACGTGATTGTACTGTAAGCCACCAGATGTACAATGACAGAGCGATTTCACACCCCTGAACCTCAGTTGACCTTGGATGGCTCATCTGATCATGCTAGGAAGGTACTGCTTTAATCAAAAGGAATTTAAATCAGAAGAATGTGCTATAAGATGCGGTGGGCAGGATGCAGCAGAGACCATGCCACTGAGCAGCCGAACAGGAAGAATGAGAAAAACACTGATGGGAAAGAGGAGAGGTGTGAGGACTGTTTATTGATACTGAGGAGGCTCCAAATCACAAGACCGCCAACAGAAATGCACTTCACTATCATTAACAACACACAAAACATACCGCTTGGCTTAACAATTTGTCCCCCCTTTTGACAGGATGCTGAGGTATGATCGCAACCCATGAGGATTTCCTGGGAAAAGTCTAGCCAAGTCCAAACACTGTTCCACAACACATTCATCTGCTCTCTGACCATCATTCAACATCCCTCTGGCTTTATTCTGGTCTTTTCCTTAAAACCATTTCCTAATATTTGTGCTATCAATGGCATTTTCTTAATGCAGAATTTGTAGATAAAGAAAAACTATTAAAATGTTGTTAGTTGATGTTTTTTTATATGAATAAGAGATGTGACAATTTTCCCCCGAGCCAGCACAAAAATAGGGAGTAGAAAGCAGGAAGGCTTCCTTACACTTAACCCAAGCCATTCACACACAAGTAACACAAGGCAGCTCAGTGTAGCTCCCCTCGCGCAGCCTCCTGGTCACTTGGCCTTCTTGTTGCCTTTCTGGGGCTGCTCAGTGGCCTTCCTTGCCTCCTCCTCTGGGATGAATACACTGATAGTGAAGTCGCTTATCTCTGAGCCATACTTGTTCTTCACAACCAGCCCGTATTTGCCAGAGTCGGCGGTGCTCACCCCACTGACGGTGAAGTAGGCAGTCTTGCCAGCCTCGAACTTGACGCTACAGTGGTCATCTGGGACCAGGGGCTTCTCGTTCTTTAACCAGGAAACCTCTGGAGTTGGGTCGCCCCACACGATGCAGGTGAGATTAAGCGCCTGCAAAACACGTTTTATGAGAGGGAAGGAGATAGATCAGGTACCATGATCCAGCTTCAAGAACCCTTCTGGTGGTTTGGCAGGGGCTGAAGGAGGATAGATATAAAGCCCCTGGAATGATGGGTAGAGTTATGTGGGGTATGCACCTGCATGAATTACAATTTGACTTCAATCCTAGCTAGGTTTCTGGAGGGTCTCAGCTTTCTGGCTTTGGTTCCCAGCTGCACTCTTGCTTTCATAAACACATAGATGCCTTTTGCTCTCGTGTGGCATTTGGATTCTGTCTCATTAGAGAAATCTCATTGCCATAATCACCACCTGCTCACTTTGCATTTTGTCTGCTTCCCAGAGCCCAGCAGCAGAATCATGACCACTGTTTCATATAATGGGATTCATTTTCAGGTTCCATCTCCCTCCTTTTATTTCTCCCCTCAAACCCCATCCAGTCTGTTGTAGTTGCAAAGGTGCTCTACCAAAATGTATTCCTATTTCCTGATATCTTATTATATTACCATGTGCGCTGAAACCCTCTTACTTTAAAAGATCAATGTTTGGGCCTATAGTTTTACTTTACTATACTTTTTTTTGTTGAAAAATTTAAGGATAATTGTAGATTCAGAAACGGTTGTAAAAAATAATAGAGAGATTGTATGTGCCCTTACCCAATTTCACCCACCAGTAACACTTTACAAAACTATAGGGTAGTAATACAACCAGTACATTGACAGTGATGCAATCCACAGTTATTATTCAGATCTCCCCAGTTTGGCCTGTACTCATTGGTGCTTGTTTGTGTGGGGTTCTATTCAATTTTATCCCTTGTCCTAGCTCCCCTCAGTCAAGAGAAAGAACATTTCTGTCACAAGGATTTCTCATGTTGCCATTTATACCCACATCCACACCCTGCCCGCAACCTCCCAACCTTATTTCTAACTCCTGGTAACCACCAATCCATTTTCCATTTCTAAAATTGTATAATTTCCAAAGCATTATATAAATAGCATTGTATAGCATGTAACTTTTTGAGACTGCCTTTTCTACTTGGCATAATTCCTTGCAGATTCAACCAAGTTACTGCAGGGATCAATAGTTTGTCCCTTTGTATGGTTCAGTAGTGAGCCATGGTGTGTGTGTATATATATATATATATATATATATATATATATATATATATATATATGTGTGTATATATATATATATATATATATACACGTATATATATATATACACCTATAAAGGTCATCTGGGCTGTTTCCAGTTTGGGGCTATTATGAATAAAGCTGCTATTGAATATATACAGGTTTTTCTGTGAACATAAGTGTTAATTTCTTTATGATAAATGACCAGGAGTACAACTACTGGGTCATATGATAAACGTATGTTTTCTTTTTTGAGAAATTGCCAAACTGTTTTCACAAGTGGCTATACAATCTTGGCTTACATTTCTACTAGCAATGTATGAGTGATTCTGTTTCTCTACATCCTTATCAGCATTTGTTGTTGTCACTGTTTTTATTTTAGCAATTCTGATAGGTGTTATGATATTTCACTGTGGTTTTAATTTGCATTTCTCTGATGGCCAACAATGTTGAATTTACTTCACATTTTATTTTATTTTTTTTAAAGATTTTATTTATTTGACAGAGAGAGACACAGCGAGAGAGGGAACACAAGCAGGGGGAGTGGGAGAGGAAGAAGCAGGCTTCCCGCTGAGCAGGGAGCCCGATGCGGGGCTGGATTCCAGGACCCTGGGATCATGACCTGAGCTGAAGGCAGACGCTTAACCGACCACCCAGGTGCCCCTACTTCACATTTTAAATTCCATTCTTGCATTTTTTTTCTTACCAAAATCCAGAAAGTATAAGGAAAAGAACTAGGGCTCACAATATACAGGAAAAGGATATTCTTCTAAATATCCCTCTAAAGGGTCTTATATGATCACTTACTACCTCTTTTATAGAAGTATTTTTTTTTTAAGATTTTATTTATTTATTTGACAGAGAGAGAAAGCGAGAGAAGGAACACAAGCAGGGGAAATGGGAGAGGGAGAAGCAGCCTTCCGGCTGAGCAGGGAGCCTGATGGGAGTCCATCCCAGGACCCTGGGATCATGACCTCAGCCTAAGGCAGATGCATAATGACTGAGCCACCCAGGTGCCCCAAGAGTATTGTTTAAAACTGGGAGATTAAGAAATCTTTTCCCTTCCATGGTAATTGGCATTTCTTTTTTTTTTTTTTAAAGATTTTATTTATTTATTTGAGACAGAGAGAATGAGAGAGAGAGAGAGAGCACATGAGAGGGGGATGGTCAGAGGGAGAAGCAGACTCCCTGCCGAGCAGGGAGCCCGATGTGGGACTCGATCCAGGGACTCCAGGATCATGACCTGAGCCGAAGGCAGTTGCTTAACCAACTGAGCCACCCAGGCGCCCTTAATTGGCATTTCTTACTGAATTATCCTATAAACACATTTCAGCAAGAAAAATAGGCTATTGCCATCAAACTTATCCAAGCGGACCTGGGGTTAAAACTTTTATTTTTCCTTTTTCTCTTTAAGTAGGCTCCATGCCCAACGTGGGGCTTGAACTCATGACCCTGAGATCAAGAGTTGCATGCTCTACTGACTGAGCCAGCCAGGTGCCCCTTGGTGGTTAAAACTTTTAACAAAACAAAATCAAATCCCCAAATACCTTAGGTGTCATGGAAAACTACTATCCATACTTTAGATTTATTTCCATTATAGATCACAAAGTCCTTTCCCATACATTCTCTCTCTGAATTCTCACTACAACCCAGTGAGCTGAATATTGTGAACCCCATTAAATGAGGAACATGAAAAATGGAGTTTAAAGACAAAAGCAACCTTGCAATGGTTGAGCTTCAGGCCTGCTGTGGTCATATATATTCTACCCGTGAAGAAATGCAGCTGGATGAAATCTGCCTTTCACTAAAGTCTTTCCACATGCCTTGTTTTCTCCCTAGCCTACCTATCATATGTCTTCATTGGGAAAAGGTTTTGTTTTACTACAAGTACCTGTCCATTATGGCTGGCTTATTGAATTTGTCTTAATGAAACAGAGTGATAAAGAAAGCGAATCCAGGTTAGAAATTATGTTCATTGCTTTTGAAACAGAGGGATGAAGAAAGTGAATCCAGGTTAGAAATTATGTTCATTGCTCTTCAGAGAGATTATTACAGAGCCAGGAAATACCAGTTTAAAGTTAAATGGAGGGCGCCTGGGTGGCTCAGTTGGTTAAGCGACTGCCTTCGGCTCAGGTCATGATCCTGGAGTCTTGGAATCGAGTCCCACATTGGGCTCCCTGCTCAGCAGGGAGTCTGCTTCTCCCTCTGACCCTCTTCCCTCTTGTGCTCTCTATCTCTCATTCTCTCTCTCAAATAAATAAATAAAATCTTTAAAAGAAATAAATAAAGTTAAATGGAAAGAAGTCAGTTTTGGGGGCACCTGGGTGGCTCAGTCAGTTAAGCATCTGTCTTTGGCTCAGGTCATGATCCCAGGGTCCTGGGATCGAGCCCTGCATCCGGCTCCCTGCTCAGTGGGGAGACTGCTTCTCCCTCTCCCTCCACCTCCTCCACCCTCTTTGTGCTCTCTCTCTCAATTTTATTTATAGTAAATAAATAAAATCTTAAAAAGAAAAAAAAGAAAGAAATCAGTTTTCAACTGAAACAGAGCCTATAGAAATTCATGGAGCAGGATGTTTCCCTTCAGAGGTAAAGTATTTAACAGGACAGCCCATTTTCCACTAGGTGTTAGAGGTTGCATCTTTCTCCAATTATATTTGTCATATAGTTGTGATTGAACCTTTTTTGCTTCTTGTGATATGAAAGGGTACCCCTGGAAAGAGACTAAGTGGTCTACATGTGACCACATAAGGCGAACTTGTATCCTGATGCTTGGCCTACAAACTGTTAAGATGGCTGGAAAATGGACTGCATTTTGAATCTTGTATTTGGCTACTCTCATGTCAAGCCTAAGCAACAGTGGCTTAAGATGAAGATGGTGGGAGCTCTTAGACGGAACGAAGTCTGGGGCACTGGAATCCATTGCTAGTGTGGAAGAAGCAGGGACAGGAGTGCTCTATGCTTACCTTCCCTTCCTGGATGGTGACCACATCGGGGAGTCCACCCAACACTCGGGCACGATCTGCAAGCATAGGTGTTTCTGGTTAATCACTGAAATGATGAGTGCCAGTGATCACACTCACAGAAACACCCCAGGGACTAACTTTCCAACTTAGTTTCCTTCTCCTTACAATTATTTTATACCTGTTTTAAATATGAAAATTAGAAAAGGATCCAGTAATTTTAGATGTTAATCCTTCCTCACACAGATAAATTGTGTGCGTGGCTGCCTCTACCTATTCCTAAAATATCAGCTTGAGATGGCTTTGTGGTATTAAGACCTGCTCTATAATTTTCATGACTATTTTCAGCCCTGGCCCTTCTGTAGCTCAGTGGGGCTCAGTTCAAGGAGGCAAAAGCAGATCCATAGAGATGGACAGCCTCCAAGTCGGCTTGGCCTCCTTTAAGGGCTTCCCTATCATTAAAAAAAAAGGGTGCACAATTGGAGGCTGAATGCCATGAGATCTGGAGGCTTGTGCAGATGGGGGCTTTCTCTGAGGTCTTTCCTAAAGAGCTTCCCTTTTTTGTCTCCTGGTAGTTCTTGGCGTACAGGACTATATAGGGTTACTATCTATGACCATGAAGTACAAAGGCCCCCAGCTGAGGGCACAAGGTGTGGGAAGCGTGCTGAATTCCAGAGCTGACCTCTTGCTCCACCCAGCCCTGTGCTCTGGGTGTGACTGGCTTAGCGTCAGGCAAGGACACCTTCCTGTAATCTGCTCAAAGGGACACTGCCTTGACACTAATGCAGTGGCCACCACCCTCTCAGTTTTAGGCCTACTTCAACTAATGTGTGACTCTAGATACTATTGCTACAACTCCCTTCCCCACTAAGTCAGACTGAAGCTGTGAACAAGCCTTGAATCTTGATTGCGTTCTCCTGCTGATTCCATTGCACCTTGGACCACCTGTAAGCTCAACTCAGCATCTGGCTCCTACACGACCCGATGTGTGACATCAGGCAAGTCACCTCACTGTGTGGACCCTAGTCTCCTAATATGTGGAATGGGGGAAGGGTTGCATTACACCTGTGGACATGAAGTTACCCAGCTCTGCTCCATAGCATCCATGGGATTCCTCTGGGGGCCCTGGGAGGGGCATTGAGTCAGGGAGCCCGGACCCCATCCCACCTTCAATTATGCTAACTTGCCTTTTACCTATTTTACATCTTGGATCTGTGTGAATTTGTTTGAATTAAGCATCCCTCGGCTTACAAAAGGTTAAACACAGGGGGCCAGAAGAGCACTCAAGTCTCTTCCAGCTCTAAACTGCTTCGATGCAGAAACTTCAGAAAGAATTCATGAACTGGAGGGAGGGGCAGCCTCCTTGCCCACCAGAGTTCAAGAATGGGGAATAGCCATCAACTCTGGACTCTGGCTTTGCTTGTGCATACAGGCGCGGAAGGGGCACACTTGGTCCCAACAAGAAGCGCTCCCCTCGCGCTGCCCTCCCCCAGCACGCCTGGTGCTGGTGCTGGCATCTGCCCCATTCACCACTACCAGCTGCCTCACCACTCAGGAGCCCAGCACACAAGGGGGGAGAAGGAAAGAGCAGGAAGGAGAGAGGAAGGCAGTCCAAAGTGCAAAGTTCCATCTTAATGACCTGGAGCTACAGAAAGGCTGGCAGAAGACTTCACTTCTTACTCCCCCTCCTGGTTCCCTTCCATTCCAGCTCAGGACTGACTCTACAGTGTTAGCCCTCAACAATTTTCAAACTCTGCCTCACACACTCAGAGAGAACCTGAATGATTATGGTAATTAGTTCATGACTCTTAGAATCCTAAAAGATTGAGTTCTAGAAATCTCCACATATGAGGCCAGCAGTTAGTAGTGAGCACGTTTGTGGGTACACAGACTTGACAGTTTGGTGTTTGTTCACTCAGACTGTGAAGAATTCAAGAAGGCCTTCTTTGGTTTCTTTTATCCTACAGGGGCTCTTAGGAAAATGCAGGAGTATTTGTCGGGAGACCAGTCACAGTGATTTTCCTGACGTCACATTTACAGTTTCTTATTTCTTCTTTAATAGAGATACATTTTTCTGATACATTGTGCCTGCTGCAAGTGATTAACAACTTATTGTGTAACTTGTGCCCAGAGATTTCTCAGGACACCCAGGGGTTAGCTCAAGTCAAGAGCTCAGTGACATTCTTAAAATGTAACCTGACACCTTCTTTTCACAGACGTTCTTACTCAAGAGACTAAATGAAAACATATGTAGAACACCTAAGATTAAAAAAAAAATGAAAGACTCTCTGTCTGCAGTCACAATAAAAAAATAAAAGCTATGTTTTGAGACTATGCCAGGAATAAATGGGAAGGGGGTTTACTTACTTTTCTCGGCAATGGCAGCTTGTCTGTGGTTGAGAGAACCAAACAAACATGCAAACAAAGAAGAATTTTGTTTTAGTGGTACTTCAAAGTAGCGAACCTTGACTGCATTTCATTGCCTCAGAGACATTTTGCTGCTCAACAAAGCAGTGGGAAGTGCGGTTTTTAGGCATCTGCCAAAATGAAAGACCCTCTCTAACCCTCAGGTGGGGGAGCAGCACATCATGTTCCAGAGAAATCAGGGCACACAAACGGCAAGGGACTTACTTTAGTCTCTGGAATTCAGCAAAGGCTTCATCATATGCTTTAAGAGAAAAAAAAGAGAAGTTAGAATGTTCTCACCCAGAATTGACAACACACAGCAGTGGATTGAAATTCGTAGCCTGAGGTCAGTGTGGTCACTCCAGACATGACTAAGCCGACTGAATAAGACTGCCTGCCCGTTGACTCTGCAACATGATGGACTTCACAGGAGAAGCAAATACTTCCTAGGTAGAAAAGATGAAGTAGTGGATTTTAGAAGCTCCCAATTCAGTGAGAGACCTTCCTTTCAAGCAGAGAGGCAAAGATTAGCTCTGCCAAAGATAAAATGGTAATAAAGGTGGTTGTGAGATAAGCATCCTGAACATCAAAAAGGCCTTTCTCTTATTAAAATCATCCCACACGGCACAGCCTCTGAGCTCGACAGTTAAATGTTTCCATATTACACCATCCGGCCCATCTATCCGTGTTAAAGGGCACAGGAACTACGGAGCTCCCAGCCCGCGCCAGTGTCGGCCTGCAGCAATGCTTCTAGGCTGGGCAGGAGCCCAGAGAAAAGACAGTGAGACAACGAAATGAGAGCTACAGAGTGCTAAAATCTTTCTTCCCCCCCGAGCCCGCCGAGCAAGCCACTTTGAACAATTCAGGCGAAAAGGCAGCTTTATTTTGAAATCTCTCTCACCTCCTCTTTAAGCTCCTATGTGGTCTGGGGATCATCATATTTTACGTCTAGAAAGTATTTACTGTCCCCCTCCTTTTACGGAGGGGAAAAATAAGCATAAAAAGTCAGGCTTCAAGTGTCTGGAGGTAGACAAGTTAGGCTAAGCCAGGCTAAGCATTCAGTTCTCTTCCTTTTGCCCACACGACACTAAGAAAGAGCTGGGCCCTGCTGAACCAATCTGCTTGGGTGGGCCAGAGAGTAAAAGAAATTTTTTTTTAAGTTTTAAATTTATCCACCCCCTTCCTGTTTCCCCGTTTCGGTTGTGTTTCAAAATGTCAGATTACACTGCAGAAGAAATCCCGTTACTGCAGTGTGTGCCTCAGGCACAGCGGGGCCTGAAGGCAGCCACTCCCATCTTTCTAGTCCTCCTAGGTGGGAGATGGGGGGGGGAGCGGGGCGGGGGGGAGGTGTGTGTGGGGGGGGAAGGGTCTGAGGGCTCAGCTCAAAACAATTCAAGGCAGGACTGCTGAAAGGCTGTGCTCTTAATTGTGAGTCTACTCTCTGCGGATTAAAAAGACTAAGAGTTCTGGAATATTCAGACCGCATTTTAGTGTATGAAGAAGTGGAAGAAAAAGTCAGTCCACGGTCTCCCTGAGGAATGTTAGGCAGAATCTAGACAGGAGCAGTGGAAGGACCGCCCTGAGGCTGAGTCCCAAGTCCTTGAGGGGGAATGATAGAGACAGGAGCTGGAGGCAAGGACAGTAATAAATAAGCTACACATTAAAAGCCTCGGGGCACAACATCCCGACCCTGTGGTTTCCAAGATCTTGGGGCTGACAGATCAAGAGCCACGGTTGCAGAACACACGCTCCCTCTCCTTGTCCACCTCTCTAAACTGTTTAATTTGTGGCTGCTAGTTGCATGTTACCTTTGTATCTGCTCATGTCTCTCCATAGTTCCTGCTCCTGTTCCCTCTTCTCTCCAGATGCCCGCATTCTCTCAGCAGATGATCAAGACATCTGACGCCATAAGGACCCAACTTCTCCAACTCTCTTCTCTTCTCCTCAATGTTAATCTTTGCTTATTCATATTTACCCACCGCCCCTCTCTGATTTCTGGAGAAAAGGGATCCCTGCTCCTTTCCAAAGTCAACACTTTCACCCCTGCCCTGGATCTCAAACCTTCCATTCTTCAGAACATGGATACATTGGTTATTCCTCATCACTCACATCTTCCAGCTCAAATGAATTCTTAAACTCTATAAAACATGCTCAAATTCCAATCACCATAACAATTCTTTCTCAGTGCTTGTTTTTGCTCAGGTGACTGTAAATCAACCTGCCCTCCTTTGTGAGCATCTTGAAAAGGGAGTCCTTGCTCTCCGTGTTTCTTGTCTCTATATTTTTCACTGATTCTCCAAGATCCATTGAATTCTTGCTTCTACCACCATGCTGAATTTAAATTGCTTTCTTAAAATCTCCAATCATCTTCCAATAGTCAGATGTAATGGCCTCTTATCACCCTTCATTCTTTTTTTAAAAGACCACACTCCTCCACAGGAAAGTTCTAGTCTGTAAAATATTCATTTACCTTGTCCAGAAAGATCCACTGTCTTCAGGTGTCCAGTTTTGCCATCAAAGAGCTCCATCACATATTTCCCTTTGTCATTTGGAGTGGGCTCACTGATTTGCAGCCAGATCTGTTCCCCGGTGACCCCACTCTTAACTCTGTCTGAGTACTTAATAGGAGTCCCGCTGTTCATAGTAAAGAAAACATTGTTATCCTTTGCTTTCATCCAGAGCTGATTTTTACTTTGTCTCTCTTTGAAGGTCTCACCATGGAGTTTTACAGGGTTTCAAACAACATGAGAACCATGCATGTTCAGCTTCAGAAAAAGTATGGGCCCTGAATCACAGAACCTAGATTCCAAGGCCCAGGGTGGGTGTGGACAGTCTGTACATTTAACTCCCAGCAGCAGCAGTCTGGGGCCCTAGCTGATTGCAACACCGATACTTCTCAGTGGTATTAATTATCTTTGTTTTTGCTTGGGTTTATTTGTGGGACTAAGAGAATCTTTAAAGGGAAAAGGCCAAACTATATATTCTATTACTGCATATTTCTTGCAGATGGTCTCTGGCTATAAGTCAGATTTTACAAACTAATTAAAAACAGACTTAAGGAGGTTCATCTGTGGCTGACATCTATTGACAGACGTGGTTACAAAGCTATTTAAAACATATGTAAATATGTACTTGGTAGTAAGGCCAAGAATAAATGAAAAGCAGAGTCTCTGCCAAAATGAATGAGGCACCTCTCTGTCCCTGGACATGAGTTTCTCCAAATTCTATAGTAGGTCATGAGCAGACACATACATTGCATTCTTCACAAGAGAATAAAAGCAAATAGAACCCTTGGCCTTGTGATCTGATGGTTTAGAAACGTTACTGTTATTAATGAAGTAAGAGAAAGGTAAATGTAGGTGTACTGTCAATGATGCTGAAAGAAACTTTATGAAGAGTTTGTAAACATGTGAGGAAATAGGAAAAAAAGCAGTATGCAAAACTACTTAATTATAGTAACAATTATGCATAGAGAAAAGACTGGAAGTACACCAAAAAGTTTACACTATGGCTAGGAGAACTATGGATGATATTATATTACAAGCTCTTTCTAAGATATAAGTATATTTTCTAAAACAAGCAGGTATTACATTTGTAGTTGTAATAAACAAAATGAACTAAAAACAGAAAAACAAAAATCTCCAATAAAAATGTTTCAGCTTTCAAATAAACATTCACCATTTTTCTTATACAATACATTCTTTAAAAGATATTCACGAACTGCCATAAGAGGGGCATGTGGGTGGCTCAGTCGGTTAAGCATTTGCCTTTGCTTCAGGTCATGATCTCAGGGTCCTGGGATCAAGCCCCGGGGTGGGCTCCCTGCTCAGTAGGGAGCCTGCTTCTCCCTCTGCCCCTCCCCCCACTCGTGCTCTCTCCTTCTCTCTCAAATAAATAAATAAAATCTTTTAAAAAATGAAAAAAAAACCTTCCATAAGATGTAGGGTAAAGGAACCCATCTGTACCCACAGACTTGAGTCTGAGCAGTTTATATGTCTTAAAGAGTTAGAAAGGTAGACCGTCCTCGGTTTTGCTATAATAAATCTGTTTGAATTCTCTAATCTCTAACTAACATGCATAATAGTACCTTAGATTTGTAAAGCCCTTCATGGTTTTCAAAGTGCCATAAATTTCATTCTCTCATTGGCTCCATCAGTATTATGAGATAGAATAGGTATTATTGCTCTTATTTCATATGAGAGAAACCTAAGATTTCAAAATATTAAATGACTTGCCTAAGATTCAAGGGAAGATAGGAGCAAAGTCAAGGCTAAAACCCATTTCAAGTTTTCTCCTGTTATGCCACATACTTACGTAAAGATAGTGAAGACAATCAGTCATTGATTCCTGAATCTTTCCTAGCCACACGGGTACACAAAACAGTCATTCAGCTGACTAGACCAGATAGTGTAAGAGGTTTATGCCTTACTAGTCTAATAGCAACTTCCTTAAAACTGAATGTTCTAATTTTTTTGAGCAAGTAATTTTTTTTAATTCTTTTTAAAGATGATATAAAGTGATATGATATAAGATGATACAAAGTTTTTTGACTGATTATTCAGTTAATTCATCTTCTCTTATTCTTCAGACTCATATATTAGAATGTCCTAGATGCCACAGAGGAATTTCCTAGAACTTGATCTATTTTAACTCATAATTACTTTCCTAAAATGTGCTCTGAAAGAAATAGAACAAAGGACTGAAACCCCAAGCATTCAAACTGGAATTTCACTTGTTCTCTCCCTCCCCCATCCGTTTTTTTTTTTTAAGAACTCAGGAAATGGATAAGAATAAGAATAAAAACACTGTTTTATATCACAGTAAAGACATTTTAAAGAAAACACAAATGTCTGTTTTGTGGGACGACCCAGTTCTGGTTAAATGTTCAATCTAGACTGTTAAAGCAACTGGAACACAGAATAGCGCCATGGTGAGGGGAGCTCTGGAGCCAGGCCTGGGCTCAGTCCACCTGCCAGTGAGCTGTGCGAACTTGAGCAAGTCACCTCCCTGAGCCTGAGCTTCCTAGTCACTAAAGTGAGAATTACCTGCCTCTTAGAGTTGTGAATATTAAATGAATTCATACATGGGAAGGGCTTGGGGCTGCCGGCAGCTTCTGATAGACACCCACAGTAGGGAAGATGCAAATAAACACTGTTGTGTGCCTCCTCCCAGGGCTGTCACTGACCTACTGCTCAATGGGGCTCAATAAAGGACTTCTGGAATGAGCATCCTCTGCATCCAAAGAGTGGGTGGAAGGTGGCTGTGCCCCATCAGATTTCTATGCCTAGGCTGCTGTTCTCTTTCAGCTCAGGACATTTCAAGGAAGGGCAAAGGTTAAGGACACTGCCAAAAGTATAATGGGTAAACTGGTTGGACTTAGAAACCTACTTTAGCTCTTAGAATCCCAGAGGTGAACTTGAGTTCACCTGTAACTCCACAAAGGAACCTGGGATTAGAACAGATCTACAGGCTCAGTCTAGCTCAAATACACATTCCCAAAGTAATCTTGAATCCCCAAAGCCTTCCAAGGGTGGACAAGAGACATGTTAATGCCCAACTATGCCAACTGCTATTAATGATAACAGTAACAAACTCAGGCACTCCACTGGATTGGGTTTCTTTGGTGAATGGCTATTAATTCATATAACAGGAAATGTGGTGGCTCTTGGTGCATACTGCTTCAGTTTTGTTCCAGACCATAACAGGGGTGAGCTGTGTATAGAAAGAGGGGATAAGAATCTGGTTTTGGGTGCCTGGCAAAGCAGAGGGAGCCCAAGCTCAACCTTCTGAAGGTGGAAATTCCATTATAGAGATGTGTACAGATGATGACAGTTCCCAGATCACAAAGACAGATGATCTTAGCCATCACTGGCCTCACCACGAACTCAAGTTCAGGCTAAGGGAATGGGGGGGATGCTTCTGTCTACACTTGTCAGTGTCAGACCTGGGAAGTAAGAAGGCTCCTTACCTAAGAGGAAGAATAGAGGATTGTTGTTGCCCCCTTTTTGCCCCCCCAACACACACACACACACACACACACACACACACACACACACACACACGGGAGAAAGAATTTCTACATGGCAGTTAAGTTCCCATTTACTTACTTGTGGGACCAGTTAACTTTCAGATCATCCAGGTAATAAGTAACAAAAGAGTACAGCCGGATGCCCTCGGCTGTGCTCTGGATTTTCAAGTCTGTAGCAGACAAAGCTGAAAGAGGAAAACAGCATAGTTCATACAGCTATAAGTCTATCCAGGAGAATAGTGAAGCACTGTCGTGGGGAGACCACTCTAACTTACCTATTGTTTTACATACTTCAGTCATCAGTTCTTTAAAGGCTGTGGACAGAGATTCATAGACAGAGCTTTAGCATAAAAATGCTCAATGTAAGGTCAGATCTCAAACTATGAGGAGCATGTGCTCTCAACATTATCCTGCCTGGTGAAGGGTATTGGCCACAGGTGAATTTGCTGAACAACTGACAATAAGTGCTCTTTGAGGAAGTAATACCTCAATTTGTATCAACTTTTAAAAGATTCTTGCTCTTATTTTGATATATTTTTTCCCTCTAATTCTTTATAACTATCACCATATTTACATTCTAGAGGAAGCCACAGTGAGATTTCCAGGAAGGTTCCTGGCTTTCTTAAGTCCCAAGAAGTCTTAGTTTACATATATGGAATTTTCTCATCTGCATCATCAACTCATAACGAATTAACCATCCAGGTTCCCTGATACTTCTCAGCCTGATAATACTTCTTGCCAATAAGCACATTTAGTTTTGCTTCCACCAGGAATAGGAAGGTGAAATCAAAGTCAGACCTACACTGTTAGTAATATTGTTAAAGATCTTGTTCAAGAACACACTTGGCAGTCTGGTGGTCACACGTAGGTCTTTGTTAACATGCTTAGAAATCTCTGAAAAATAGAAATTGCTTTCTTGCTCTGCTAATAACTGAGAGGCTTCACGTTTCATATATAAATCTTTCTTGCCACCTGTTAAGAGTGGACTATTTGGTGACACACTTTTCATGGTAGTTTTGGGTTTTTTTATGAACTTTTTTTTTTTAAGTAATCTCTACACCCAACATGGAACTTGAACTCACAACCCTGAGATCAAGAGTCGCATGCTCCTCCCACTGAGCCAGCCAGATGCCCCTCACAATAGTTTTTGATCCTGGAACATTTTTTATAGGGTTGAAACAAAAATGATGATTTATATTGAAAACAGAACCCTTGTGGACTATGGACTATAAACTCTCTGAAGATCAAAAGTACATATTTGATTTACAGGAAGACTAAAAGTGAAGTATTTTTAAATAAAAGAGTAGTTCACTCTGCTGGAATTTCAATTAAAATCTGTGGACAAAAACTCAGCATGACTTCAGTTGTTACTTAGCCTCACTAATCAGTCTGGTAACCTGTGACACAGAACACGCAAAATCAAACCCAGCAGTTGGAGGACTGACCTTCATCCACAAGCTTCAGTCTGCTCTTATCTTTTCCTCTGTCGTCTTTCAGGATAACTTCATAAATCCCAGCATCTTTCTTGGAAAACTAAGAGGGAATGGAAACACCACATTGCAGCTTATAGCAGCTTCAGAGAATGGTGTTTGCATTTTTAAGGTCCTGTGGTTTATAGAACTGCTGTCAAACCACACATTGAATGAACATCTGGCCCAGTGAGTGATGAGGAGTTCACAGATGAACCTGTCCATCATCATTTGACCTGCTAGCGGTCCTGATTTTTCACTTTTAAGGCTATTGATTTGAGACTTAAAGTCCTATTCTTTACTCTGCCTTCACATTAAAAACTAATGATCCAATATATTTGACAGATATGTTCTTTTAGACAAAAAGTAGATAAAAACCTGTACTTAACTGAATACTATGTCTGATTGTCTCTGTACTTTTAGGGAACAAGTTATCATGAGGCTTAAGAGCAAACCAAGAAGGGCCCACTTAATTGCCCTGCCACTCACCCATGTATGAAAAGAGGCAGTTCAGAGAGGCCAGAGTTGGTGGTGTCTAGCCAATACTGGTTGGATATCTGACAAATCGTGCATGATCACAAGGTGAGAGAAGTTTTTGTTTTCCTATGGCTTGTTTTTTTGGGTGATGTCAGGGCAGGGATCTTTGGAGCAGCTAGAAGTAAGGTGTTAAAAATGCCCAGGGCAAAGGAATACAGAATCTAGTCTCTTTTTTAGAAGAATGTAGGGTACAGAACTAATATATTACATCTCACATTTATAGTCACCTACCTCTGTTATAAGCAGGGTACATATACCATCCTTAAAGTCATGCTTTTCATCCACTGATATCTCTCTCTCGTCTTTGTACCACACAATATGAGTCTCCTTCTTAATATTTGCCACCTAGAAGAAAAACCATAATTATACTTCTTAAAATAAGGGACTGCTACTCTTACAAAACTTAATAGTTCTTAACATAGCATTGGATAGAACAAAAAGCACTGAACTTAAAAGACATACATTTCTAAAGGGATAAATTGAAAGCTATTTTAATCGATAAAGAATTTAAAATAAAATAAATACAAATGAATAAACCTAAATCAATAGCATTTTTATGTCCAGCAGTAAAAACTGATTTTAAAACTGTCTGGTGGACAGAAAAGAATAGATACATACATGCTAGCGTGCAGACTTAAATAAAATAAATAATAATAAATATCTGAAAACCATAGGCAGACATATCCCATCACATTAAAATATAGCCTGTGTCACAAAAATAAGGCTTTATCAAAAGAACAGAATGAGTAAGTATATATCTAAATGAGTAAATATATATCTAAATGTTTTATTTTTTAAAAGTTTATTTACTTATAATCTCTATACGTGGAACTCAAACTCATGAGTCTGAGATCAAGAGTCACAGGCTCTACTGACTGGTCTAGCCAGGCGCCCCTCTAAATATTTTTAAAAATACGAATGAAGCTTTGCAAATAAATGTGGAAGGTAAGTATGTTTTTAAAAACATTTTTTAATTAAAGTGTTTTCAGGTTTATTGAGATATAATGGACATATATAAGTTTAAGCTATATAACATTGATTTGACATATGTATATATTATGAAATGATTACCACAGTAAGTTAGGTTAATATCCATCAAGTATGGTTTAATAAATTAATTGCTTAGCAATTTTGAGGAAACATTTAAATCCCATTCCCATACAAATTTCAAATAGGCTAACAAACTCATACAGTTAAAGGGATCTTGAGCTACAATATTTGAATTTTCTACAAAGAAGAGTATATTCATATTTCTTGTATAATTAAAATTGTATAAAAAAGTAAAGACTTCATACAAATCAAGAAAACAATCCCTAACACCCCACTGATTACTGAAGAAATGAACACACAATTCCCCAAAGAGGAAATATAACCACAAAACAAACAGATGAAAAAAACGTTTAATGTAATTAGAAATAAGGATATGCAAGCTTTAAAATGTTAAAAACTTTCAGTTAATAAATTAACATAAGAACAAACACTGGTAACTCTACAATGAAACCAGCACAAACGAACATTCTTTATGATCCTGTCAACTGGTCCCTAAATTATAGAAATTAACTGTGTTACTAGGTGACACTGCTTCTGATAAAAATGACCCCTGACTGGGAAAATGCATCTGGACTAGGAGGGACTAGAAATGGACTCCATAGCTTTAGGTTTCCCTAAGTATGCTGACGCTTGTAATTTGGGCATGCCCCTTATGGGGACCCCTGAAAGCTCTGCCTAGGGAGTTGTTACAAGAGGTATTGGATCCTTAGGTCATGAAGTATTTTTAAAACCATTGCATTTCCTGCACTGACCAAATTGGGCTTGTCCCTTAGCACCTTAGCTGTCATCAGGGGGTGGTGAAGTGGACTCCTGCAGGAGAGGAGTGCCCAGCGCTGCTTGCAGGCAAGCTGGGGTTCTTGTCCTATATTCTGTTGACTAGTTCCAATTGGGGCCCATGACAGTTTCATGAATCTGGATGTTTAGCTACACATACTCCATTACCTATAGTGAATCTATAAATCACCAAATGTATCTAAATTGCTATAATCATGAAACAAAGAGCTATGGGAAGACAGAGGAAGGTTCACTCCACCTGGACAGAGAAGGGAAAGGCCTTACAGAAAAGATGACTAAGCTGGACCTAGAGAAAGGATTTTGTCAGAGAAGCTGAAAGAAGAAGGTCACTCCAGGCACTGGAACAACATAAATACATAAAGTATGAATATTCAGAATCTATTTCTAGATTCCGAATCTGGGCTAGGGGTTGACATCAGAACAGGACATTAGGGCTCACCTCCCAGAAGGCTAGTGCAATAAGTAGTACAGAAAGAAGGAGGGTAGACATGTGGGCCTTGGGGAAACCGTGGTTTATGCGGTGGGCAGGGTGGAGGAGAAAGTGAGTCGGAGGCAACATGGCAGTGGACAGCCAGGAGGAGAGAGGGGGTTTTAGCTGCTGAGAAATTGTTTTTCAGGAAGTTTTGCCATTTACTGAGAGGCTAAAGCCTAGAATTTATCTCTCGGACACATTTCTGGTAGACTGCTCTTTCTTTAAATGTCATCAGACCTAGAAGAGACTGGGGCACTTGGGTTCTGGCTTTTATAATGCCAAATGCCAAATCCATGCTTCTACTTTGGAGTCACTGTCTGCTGTCATGACCTTCACACTCCAGCCTCATCCAGCAGTTCCCCATCCAAAACATTTTGATGACTCACTCAGCTGAACACACCGTAAGCTAAGGTACAAAATGATTTAGAATGTGATATGGACTTTCATTTCTAAGTTTTTCCCAAGGCCTAATGAGACAACTGGTTGTGAGCCTCAAACTCTTTACCAAGCCTCTCCCTTCGTGGCAACACACTGGTTTCAGAACCCGCAGCTGAGCTAGCCAATTCTCAAAGGGATTGTTGCCTTAGTCACACAAGTTAGATAGGAAATTGCTACACTTCCACAGAAAGACAGAGTATCTGGAATGATTGTGGAAGAGATCTACTAGTTAGAATGAAGATTTGGCCTGAAACAAAGACATTGTGAGATTCTTCTGAGATTAATTAAAAAAAAAAAATGGGGAGGAGGGAGAAGAAGAATGAATAGGCAGAGCACAGAGGCTTTTTGGGGCAGTGAAAAAACTCTGTATGATACTATAATGGTGGATAAATGTCATTATATATTTGTCTAAACCCATAGAATATATAATGCCAAAAGTGAACCCTAATGTAAACTGTGGACTTTGGGCAACTATGATATGTCAATGTAGGATCATCAATTGGAACAAATGTGAGACTCTGGTGGGGGATGTTGATGAAGATGCTGGCTGTACAAGTATGGGGACAGGGGTTACATGGGAAATCTCTGTACCTTCCTTCAATATTGCTATGAACCTAAAACGGCTCCTAAAAACATAAAGTCTTAATTTAAAAAAAGAGAAGAGCCAGTCCTTATCAACTAGGGTATAATGAATAGGAGTAATAATCTTGTCTTCCCATATTTTTATGTTGTTTTATTTTATCTTATTTTATGTTTTATTTTATTTTATGTTTCTTACCACCCAATGATTATAGTAACATTCAATAGCAAGAATGTGTCACTTGGCATTTTGGTTCAAATGGAGATGAAAAATTGATCTTTCTTTTCTCACATTCTACTTTATTTTTATTTCCCTTATATCAAATATTTAAAATTACTTCTTACCTTGCATTTCTTCTTCTTCTTTTTTTTTAAGATTTGCTTATTTATTTTAGAGAGAAAGGGAGAGAGAGAGAGCATGCATCCACGCAGAGGAAGGGGCAGAGGGAAAGAATCTCAAGCAAACTCCCCACTGAGTGGAGAGCCCGACACTGGGCTGGACGTGGGGCTCAATCCCTTGACCCATGAGATCATGACCTGAGCCAAACCGAGTTGGATATTCAACAAACACCCCTCAGGTGCCCCCTTACCTTGCATTTCAATAGTACATTACATTCACCGGTCACTTCCCAGCTCAAATACTCAGCAAAATGAGGACCTATAAAATTTTAATGATATCAGTAATCACTCTGTTAATCACAAATGCAAAATCAAAGCTCATTCTTAAATTCTAAAGTGATATATATATGAAGTGATATTTTAAAATTCAAGATTAGTTTTCAAATATTTTAAATGGATACATATTTAATAATAAATATTTTCAATTATTTTTTATTTACCAGGGCATTATTAGCCTAAGCAATAATATACATTTAAATTTGTTATGGAATTAATCTTGGAATTTTTTTTTCAAGAAATTAAAGTTTTTCTCTTTACTCACTGCCAATTTTTACCTTGTTTCCTGATCCATTCTTGCCGCTGGAATTCGGCTTCTTTCTGGAGCTTTTTATAAACTAAAATAGAAAAATAAGGAAGGATGAAATTGAGCTGAGTGGTATAACTGTATATGCCAGCCACTGTGCAGATTTATATTCATTATTATAACATATTCATACATCACAATAACCTATTTAAGTTTTTATGATGAAGAAATAAGCTAGGAAGGTTAAGTAAATTGTTCAAGGCCATGAAGCTAGGAAATAGTGAAGTAGTATTGGATGTCGCAAATGTAGAGATCTGGCCAGCCTTTCCAAATGCCACGTTTGTTAAATGTCATATTTTATATCTTGGTGGTTTTACAGTGGCTTATGGCAGCTGACATATAATCCAGTTATAAAGCATGATTAATTGATCTGGCATGCACCACTTTTGTATATTTTTCTTCTTAGTTTAAGTAGTTTAAAGTAATTACACAGTATAAGGTAGTATCATTGTTTCTGAGATATAGGTAGAGTCTTAGTTGTATTACAATCTCCTTCACTGGAGAATTTTAGTAATAAATACTTGTTTAGATAGGAGATCATTTAACTGCAGTCTTTCCTGTGGGCTAAGGATAAATCTGGTGAAATACTATGGAAAGTATTAACTGAAATTGGATTCCAATGTTTAAAATACAAGAAACAATTCCTGCTGCCTTCAATGGGACCACTTTCGTGCCACAGGGTATTTGCACTGAAGGGAGCAGTGAAGTCTTTCCGTTAATGTGCCACAGACTTCTCACCATCTCTAATGAGAACAAGAGTAGAATGGCCAGTTGCTTTCCCATCTTGAAGCTGGAAAGTGTATGTTCCCTCATCCTCGTCCTGTAGCTTTTCCATGAACATTTCAATTACGCCAGTGTTTCGGTCAATATGCATCTTATATTTCTTCAATGTGAAAAGGAAAACAGAAATCAGTGAGGAAGATAGGATGCCAATGCCTGATGGAATAAACACAAACTCCAAAGAATCATAATTTTAACAAAATTTCTTGTTACTTTTTTTTTTAGATGAGCTTTCAAAATCTTGTTCTCCAGGAAAAAGAAGAATATGACCTGGCATATATGACCTTGACCAGAACTGATTACTATAAAGTCTGAAATTTAATTTTTTTAAATACAAATAAAAGTTTTGTTATCCTAAGTCACAAGTATTGTCAAAAAGGTGTTTTTAGGGGCATCTGGGTGGCTTAGTCATTAAGCGTCTGCCTTTGGCTCAGGTCATGATCCCGGGGTCCTGGGATCGAGCCCTGCATCGGGCTCCCTGCTTGGCGGGGAGTCTGCTTCTCCTGCTCCCAATCCCCCTGCTTGTGTCCCTCTCTCGCTGTGTCTCTCTCTGTCAAATAAATAAATAAGATCCTTGAAAAAAAAAAAGGTGTTTTTAGATTCCCATTTTACCTTCCAGATTACATTCGTTTTAATTAGCAGAATAATGCCACATAATAGGCAGCGTGAGGGACGTGTTTTTGTCTCATCCATTGCTATATCCCTCACGTCTTGTGCATGCATGGCCTATAGCAGGCAATTAGTAAATATCTGCAGAATTAATATGTGAGTAAAAATGCTTCCAAAGCATTTGAAGTTCATTTGTTCCTAATAAACTAAACTTGTCCTATTCTTCTGTGCTTATTTTATCATATGGCTTAGGCAACTTTTTTTTCAGTGTAAAGATAAATCTTAGCCCTTGGGCATACAAGCGTAGGTTCTATAGTAGATTTGAATTAATGAAGTTTTCCTATAAAATGTCACAGAATGAAGGCTCAGGTCTGGGATCAACTGTGTGCTGCAGTTCATGCCTCAGAGTGTCCCCTGCAGGAAGCCAGTCTCAAACCGAGACCACATTTTTGCTTCGCTTTCCTCTACCTTAGCTTGTTTCCCTAATCCCCACTCCTGGAAGTACTCCCCCATGAATACATTGAAAGAGAAAATCTATTTCAGACTGTCCTTCTAGGGAACTTAGCCTAAGACACTAATTTCCACCCAACAAAATAGTGTAAGAACTAACTGCAATGACAATGAACAGTTCTTCAAGTTCAGAGTATGTATGTGTATGTGTGCATGTGTACAACAGCATGAAACCATGTGTGAACACATGAAGGGGAGTGCGTCTATGCATGTGTGTGCACGAGTGGTCCCTAAATGGCTGTGGCAGCAGACAGTGATGCCAACAATGCTTTTCCTTCCCCTCTACTGCCCAGGTGATGAGCATGGCGATCAAGGAGAATGTCTTGAAAAAGGAGAAGATGGGCCACTGTGGACCCTGTGTGACTTATTCAGGTTCTATACACAGTTGCTAAATGAGCTGAAAAGAAATATATTACATTTTTTTTTTTTGCTATTTATGTTATTCATTCTCCCACTCACTAATGAATCCTGAAATGTTTTAAAAACATATCTTTTTTTGTTTAAGATTTTATTCATTTATTTGACAGAGAGAGAGATAGTGAGAGCAGGAACACAAGCAGGAGGAATGGGAGAGGGAGAAGCAGGCTTCCCGCCGAGCAGGGAGCCCAATGTGGGGCTCAATCCCAGGACCCTGGGATCAGGACCGGAGCCGAAGGCAGACGCTTAACGACTGAGCCACCCAGGCGCCCCTAAAAACATATCTTGATGAAAGGAGAACAGGTTGTTAATGATGGCCACAAATCACACCTCTTTACCATCTTTTGAGACTCTCATTTATACCTGTGATTGCCCGGTAAAAGCCAGAGCTCCTAAACCCAAGTTCTTCAGTACCACTGGGTACTGGCTTGATTCTGGGAGGACAAATACAGTGCAGATGTTGTAACTCTACCCATGGAAACTATGTTTATGTTAAAAGCAAAGAAAAGAGAGATACATACAAACACCTACGTAAATTAAATAAGACATCCATAGACACACACACACACACACACACACACAGAAGTGTAGAAAAAAATAAAAAAAGTATAAACCAATGTGTATATTAAAAAGTTGTGAGAATTTGTGATTTGTCCCTTTTGAGTCTTTACAATTTTTATATAATAAAAATGTATTGCATTTTTCACCAGAAAAGTAAGGAAAGATATTTTTGCTGCATTTTTTTCTGAGCCATTGGAACAATGGAGGCCATTTCCTCCCTGTGAAGAACCAAGTTCCTGCTGAGGTTTCTGATGTGAGTATGTAAGTTCAGGTAAGCACACTGACACCTCTTCTTCTCAGGAGAGCAGCTCTGTTTTCCCGGGTAACCATACACCTTGATTTGCCCCGGATAGTTTTGGTTTGATTCTTGTCCTGGAAAAATTATTACTAGAACCCTCTTTCATTCTCAACAGTGTCCCAGTTTGGATAATATGATATAATCAATCTATATTTTCCTCTATTTTTTTTTTTTTACTCTCCCACTCCACATCCAGTGGTTTTCATAACAACTTAGCTGCATTTTAATAGGGCTCCCTCAGCACATTGTACAGTGATATGTTTAGAATCTAAAAAGTGTAAAACATACCGGTCCTTCAAAAATCTCCTTGTCATTAAATATGTAGGTGACTTTGGTGTTGCCAGACAGCTTCTCAGCCTGCATCCAAAACCGGACCTGGCCTTTCTCCAAAATTTCAACTGCCAACTCTGACTTAATTGGGACAGCTATGCAAAATAAAAACAAAAATAGTAATTTCATTGGCAACCAATTGTATTAATACCAATTTTTCAGTGAAAAAAACACTCAATGGAAATGACAATATAGCACCTTGCTTCTTGCAAAGCCTGGAGGCAGTAAGAATGTTGTAGGGAAAGAATGATACTAAGAGATGGAAGACCTGGGTTCTAATCCTGCTGCCACTTTGGGCAAGTCATTCACCTTCCCTGAGTCATAGATATCTCAACTGTAAAAATGAGGAAGATAAACTTACCTCCAGGGTTCCTTCACCTAACCTGTGTGACTCTCTACTGTGGCTTTAGGGACAATAACAAAGTGTGATGAAATAGTCTTGGGCTGGCCCCAGGAGAACTGGAGCCTAGTCCAACATCAGCAACTGTGTGATATTAGGCAGGTCACTTCACATATTTGGGCCTCAGTTGACTCATTTATAAATGAATGGGATTGTACTGAATGTCCTAAATGGTTAAGAGATTTTCCAGCTCCAAAATTCTATAATCTTAATTACTTCAAAACACTAGGAAAGGAGTTAAATTTTATTTTTCTCAACAATTAAACTCACTTTGGAGGTTCTTTCAAATGTTTTTAAAAATGAATTTTAGGGCACCTGGGTGGCTCAGTTGGTTGAGCGACTGCCTTTGGCTCAGGTCATGATCCTGGAGTCCCAGGATCGAGTCCCACATCGGGCTCCCTGCTCAGCAGGGAGTCTGCTTCTCCCTCTGACCCTACCCCCTCTTGGGCTCTCTCTCTCTCACTCTCTCTCTCTCAAATAAATAAAATCTTTAAAAAAAATAAAAAATAAATAAAAATGAATTTTAAAACAGAATTAATGTTGATATATACAAGATGAACTAGCTTATCATTTAAACTCTATCCATCCCACTGGTTTGCCAATTCATTTACATTCTTAGACAAGGAAACATTTTTCAAAGGCAAATATGTGAGTCACAAATAAGAAGGCATATTAAGATATTAAGATATAAGTCACTAATTCATATTAAGATATTAATATATAAGTCACTAATTCTTATTAGTGACTCTCATATTTGCCTCTGAAAAATGTTTCCTTGTCTAAGAATGTAAATCAGAGAAAGACATGTATCATATGACTTCACTGATATGAGGAATTCTTAATCTCAGGAAACAAACTGAGGGTTGCTGGAGTGGTGGGGGGTGGGAGGGATGGGATGGCTGGGTGATAGACACTGGGGAGGGTATGTGCTATGGTGAGCGCTGTGAAGTGTGCAAGACTGTTGAATCACAGATCTGTACCTCTGAAGCAAATAATACATTATATGTTAAAAAAAAATGAAGAAGATGATAGCAGGAGGGGAAGAATGAAGAGGGGAAATCGGAGGGGGAGACGAACCATGAGAGACAATGGACTCTCAAAAACAAACTGAGGGTTCTAGAGGGGAGGGGGGTGGGAGGATGGGTTAGCCTGGTGATGGGTATTAAAGAGGGCACGTTCTGCATGGAGCACTGGGTGTTATATGCAAACAATGAATAGTGGAACACTACATCAAAAACTAATGATGTAATGTATGGTGATTAACATAACATAATAAAAAAAAAGAAGTAAAAAAAAAAGATATAGCACGGCTGGCCTCACAAAGAAAGTAAAGGAACCATATGTATCTCTGATAATATACCTGTATTGCTTAAGCCATTTGAGTCTGGGTGAAATTTTAAAAGTTGGCTGATATCCTTCAAAAACAGTTTTCTAAATTTCTTGTAACTTGAAAATCTTCTCTATAAAGCCTCCTCCAATAGTTTTGTATCAGAGGTAGCTCCAGGGCAAACTCTGCTGAAAACCATGGCTGTCTCTCAAAGTTTAGTAGTCCTTTATTTCCTTCAGGAGAAATCATCACTCTTTGCTGTCTCTAAATGGTTCTTATAACTAATCTCAAAATTTCAACAGATGCTACATTTTAAATTGTAAGCTTCCCAAACTTGTATCAAATATACAACAAAATTTCTTTGTACTTATCCTAAAACTATCCTTTCCAAACTTTAAGGGACGCCTTTCATTTGCTGTTCCATAGTCATTGTGAAACTCAGTTATAAACTTGTTCCAGTGAGGAACCAAACAGAGGCTCAGATGTCATCTACTGCAGAGTGTCTGAGATGCACAGAAGATGGGCTCTGATGTCACACTGAGACCTTGGACAGTTCTTTCCTCTTGAAACCTCATGTTCCTCAATTGCTAACATGGATATGATCTGCCTCATAAGACCACCAAGAACAATGAATACAGTACCAGAAGACACTAAGACACTGTGAATAATGACCAGTGCTCAGGAAAGGTGAGTTCTTTTCTCTCCTCATTTTACTGATGACAAAACTGAGCCCCAGGAAAGGCTAGTAACATATCTGGGCAGCAGAGCTGCGACCAGGGTTATTCCCTCTATTCTGTGCTCCTCTCGGTTCTGGCCGTCCACTCTGAAGAACAGTAGTGGCTGGCCAGTGTGAGCATGTCTAAGTAAAGCAACAAGGACGGACCCCAGGGTTGTGAGAGCAGAGGCTAAGCTTTCTCCCTACAGGACACTCCTACTTGCTACAAGTAACTCTTGAGGAGAATGGAGAGTAGAATTTTTCCTGAGAAAGTCTGAAGACCTCATTCTGGGAGATATAATACATGAGTGTTGCAGTTACTTAAGGGGCCCAGAGTGGTGGTGGAGGAGAAAGGGCATGTCCTCCTGGAATTTTCAAGCTCCCTTAGTGTTGTTCACTGCCCTCTCTGAGTAATAGGAACATCACACAAGGAAACACCGGCCACCAGGAATCACCAGAGAGGGTGTGGTGGCAAACAGCAGGTGTATACACAGTAACAGTCATGTCCTGGTTAGGGTCAGTCCACTTGGGCTTAACCACGGTTATCCACTGTGTACATCTGGTCTAGTTACCCAACCTCTTTGGGCCTCATACACCTCTAAAATTAAATTACCTTAGAACCGAGCCTTTTACGGTCACTGTGGAGTTTAAATGATACATTCCCTTTCAGCACCCTATAAATACTCTGGCATATAACAAGTGCTCTATAAATTTGGCTATTAATATTTTGGTACCTCTTTCCTCCACCAGTTGCTTCAATAACACCCTACAACTACCAATTATAAAATATAATGTATTGACACCTAAGAGGACATACGAAATAGATACAATTTATGTATATGTGCTTGCATATATCTGCACACATAGGGTATATGCATACAAGTGGGGTAATATCCAAGAGATATTATGTAGGATGTTGACAATACTGAAGTATACCTTCCATCACCTCCCTCACAATACCTTGACATCTTTAAGTAAGCTGTCTCTCTACACTGCCGCTTAATATCAAAAGTGGCAAGACCAACTAGGCTATTTTCTGTTTTTAGCTTTATACATTTTTATTTTTTCCTTCTTCTCAGTCCTAAATTTCCTTACACTCTTTTCTCTGGCAGTTAATTTGCTCCAGCAAAATATCTATTTTTTGTAGGTTTAAGGCATATGTTTAGTGGTTTTCCAAAATATTTTTGAAAACAGCTTAAAATAGAATTTACTGTGCCAAGGGATAAAGGAGCACCATGCTCTCTATTACATTCTGTAAGAAACAAGACCCATTTAAAACCTTACAAAATCTCACAAAAAGACTTAATGATGTTCAACATTTACCGACAGGAAGTGGGTATAAATTGAGAAATTAGATATGCTGCTTTGACTCTTTATCAGATCTCTGAAAATATTCATGTAGCCACCAGGCTGATCTAATAGCAGTGGGGGGAAGAAGAGTGTGGGAGCTGTATTCTTTTTTTTTTTAAAGATTTTATTTATTTATTTGAGAGAGAGAGAATGAGAGATAGAGAGCACGAGAGGGAAGAGGGTCAGAGGGAGAAGCAGACTCCCTGCTGAGCAGGGAGCCCGATGTGGGGCTCGATCCTGGGACTCCAGGATCATGACCTGAGCCAAAGTCAGTCACTCAACCAACTGAGCCACCCAGGCGCCCGGGAGCTGTATTCTTGAAAATGCCACTTCAATGGGCTAAGCAAATCTCCCTTGGGTTAGGAGATCTGACATTTGCATGTCAGAATTTTTAACACATTGTTGAGTTCTCTCTCTCTCTGCCTACCCAAATGCCACACCAGGTCTCTAATAAAAAGGGAACCTGAGTTTGCTGCTACTAACTCTCCTAGAACCAGTAATTAGAGTGATCATGCTTATGCAAAATAAATCTCTCAGCATATGTGACAGTGACATCAGACAAGTACTATCTCCAAGTCCATATGATCACTGAACATCAGGGAGGCTTGGGCACCTCCAATTCAACAGTAACACCCCATGTTGTCTCATCTCCATCCTTTAAGCTAAATGTAAATGTTGTTTGGACCAGCTCTTGCCTAGACACTTTGCCAATGTTTACTGTCTGACTAGATTAGTGGATGCTGCGGTTTCCCTCCATTTCCACCAATGTTTGGGAGGAGGCAGTCTGATCACTAATGGAGTCTGGCTGTGTTCAACATAGTGACCCTCTCCTACACTCCCTACTTCACATCACTGGGGATGTGAAGATGGAGCATCCTGTATGCTCGCAGACAGATCTTATACAAGTGGGTTTTTTGAGGATCACTGTTGTTTCCATCAATATTTATATTTTTCCTGAAAAGTTCAAGGATCTCTCACAGCATCTCTATACAGTAGGTTGCTATAAATGATTACAACAGCCATTTCTAGAAAAGAAACTAAGGCATGGGGAAATTAAAATTGAGTTGCTAAGGTCATAGAGTGGGTCAAAAGTACAGAACAAAGAGAATACAAGCCAAACTTCTACCTTCCATGCAATTAAAAAGTAATAATAACTTTGAAGATACCATTCATAGTCTTACTTTTCCAATTTTATGGTGAATAAGCATACAGATGAGAAATGGTTCTCTCCCAGAATTCAGAAAGTCTGTATTCTACACCCACACCCCATAGGCACCCCATTGTGCCTCTTTGTTGAACAACATTGGTTTTGAGAACAAAACAACTGAGGCCAATAGTCACTAACACTCAGCCTCAGGATGCAACAAGATTCCTTGGGGATGGAAAGGAAGTCAGGAGATTAGTTCCAGAGCAGTGTGTGTTTATTTTTGAGTCAGAGCCTTCACTGGGAATTTCAGGAGAGCTGCAGACCCTCCTCCTATTAAAATGTACATATACAAACATACAGGGTTTTGCCTATAGTGTGGAGTCATGGTATAGTTTCCTGAGTTCCTGAAAAGTCTGTATTGGTGAAGGAGTTGTATTTTAGGGACTAAAGAGTAAAACAAAACAAGATTCCTGATTTAAAAGAGTGAGTGTGTATTATCACTCTCCATTTGTTTTCTCAAACTCCAGGGTATAACTTTCTGGATAATCCACTAGTTTGGCCAATAGATATCAATGGCAAGAGAACGTATCAGGTCAGTGGAACTTTCCTAGTATCATTTCAGACTTCTCTCTCTTAGGTGTCAACTGTGAAATTTAATCTTTTATGTGGAAAGTGCTTTGTGGAAGAGTTTGTAGATAGTTCAGAGGGATTCTTTTTCTGACTAGGGCATCTTTACCTCATTTTTCAGGAGTTTAAAATGGTAGATAATGTCTTTAGATTATCTTTATTTAAAAGTATGATTCTTCTGTTAAGTGCTAACATTAAATTGCTTAGGAAGAGATTGGTTTGTCTAAAAAACATGCAGATTCATGTATCCAGTATCATATAATATATAGGATTCCAAAGTACATAGGCAAAAAGTGAAGAACTTAACTACCCAGCTATTACGCTTGTGTAACCTGACACTTCACTACGTAACAGCATGGGATGTATTTTCTATGTTAGTATTTGTATCTCTTTAGAACAATGGCCAAGATAAAAGCAGCCCTTCTGGAAAGTGCATTTGTAGCCACCAGTGTATGTTCCATTATGTGTTCTTAAGAACTTCTTCTCTTAATCCTGTCAGAGTTGTCGCCGGACCTATTCCACAAGTCACCACCCAGTAGGACTGCTAAACTCTGTGGATGTACTGTGGACACTTACTTGGGAACTTGTGTTCTTGGCTGAGAGCTAGTAAACGTTTCAGCTCTGTAGGGAGAAAAAAAGAACAATTAAACTTGAACAACTAAAAGGAAAGTCACTTGATCCTAGAGGATCACTGCTGAATCAAAGCAGAGTTAGACTTGTGAATGGATTTTATTTTTTTTATTAAAGATTTTTATTTATTTATTAGACAGAGACAGAGAGCACAAGCAGGGGGAGCGGCAGGCAGAGGCAGAGGGAGAAGCAGACTCCCTGCTCAGCGGGGAGCCCTACGTGGGGCTCGATCCCAGGACCTGAGATCATGACCTGAGCCCAAGGCAGAAGCTTGACCGACTGAGCCAACAGGTGCCCCAATAAATGGAATGATTTTGAACTTACCTTCCTCATTGATCAAGTAGCTTGACCCTATTCCATCAGTGTCTGTTACATCGCAGGAGTAAATGCCCAAGTCTTCCATCCCCAAGTCCTTGAAGGTCATTTTCGTTCTGCGGAACAGAATACTCTTGTAAGAAGGGAGGCTGTGCGGGGTCTATAAGCCCACGTCTTGTGTTGTGTCTAGGTGTCTGCACAGGATACTCCCTTCACTGGTAGCACTTGTTCCCATCTCCCCTACTGACCTGAAACCTGCTCATTTAAGCTGTTTCTAGGAAGACTTTCTTGACCTCCTCCCAGGGATCGGGGGTGGGATGACAGGAGTGGGGAGCTGGTACAAATAACCCATCCCCAAATTATGTTGCATATCAATACTCATCCCCAACAAAGGTATTTTTAGCTGATTTGCCTTTGCTGGGGAACCTAAAAAATATCTTCCCCCACAGGGCAGAACCTTTTTTTGTCAACTCCAAATGCCTCCTTTATGTCATCCCCTGCACTTTCCTTTTTGAGCTTATCATACTGCATTGGCATTGCCTATTTTATTATCCCTACGTCTCTACTATATAGTCATTGTACCATTAAGGACAAGATCTGGTTCATGTCCTTTTGTGTCTTCCAGCATAATATGTGCTTAATAAATATTTGTGGAATGAATAAGTGAATGGGTCAATGGTTTAGTTCACTGTATTTTCTAACTTTGGTAAGTGATGTTGCTAGTCAGTGTCTAAGATCAGCCAAATATATAAATGTTAGTAAAGTGCACAAATCAGAAGAAAATTTTACAGCTTGTCTTTTCTTTGACCAAATTTATATATTTTTAAAGGTTTTATTTTTATTTATTTGGCAGAGAAAGAGAGCACAAGCACAAGCAGGGGGAGAGGCAGAGGGAGAAGCAGGCTCCCCGCTGAGCAAGGAGCCCAATGTGGGACTCAATCCCAGGACCCTGGGATCATGACCTGGCCGAAGGCAGATGCTTAACTGACTGAACCACCCAGGTGCCCCACCAAATTTATGTTTTACTTCAAGGACTTTATAGCACACTGACAGAAAAATGTCTTTTAATTATATTCAGTATGTCCTTGCCATTCTCCAACAAAATTACTATTTCTTTATTTATGAGATATTTTGGGCTTCTTGTAATAAAAATAATACTTAAAAGCATTTTGCTTTACCAAATGCAATCCAATATGGTAGTCAATATGCTAAGCAAGGCAAAGTAAAAGAAAACTTAGATTCTTGGATGTAAAAGGAAGTAACTGATCACAAAATTCATCTCCTCTGCTCTCTCCCATTTTACAGAAAAAGAAATCCAAGGCCCATGGAAGTTAAAAGCTGCCCCAGGTCAAGCTGGGATTCGAACTCATCTATCCTGTGCTTCCCATACAGAGTTCTTTCCAGTGTGTTATTATGTCACTCATAAGTGGTGGTGAAAAAAGCAGAAGAGATTATACCTAGCCCATTTAATTCACCATAACTTGAACCAGCAAGTAGCATGTTCTTCCTTGCTCTCTCCCCATAAGCATCCTCACCATTACTTTAAGATTACAAAATTTCATAAAATAATGAGAATCATCATTAAAGCTGATTTTATGTCAAAGCTTTTCTAACATCACAAATGAGATAATATATGAGAAAGCTTTTTAACTGAAATAACATGAAAAGTATTTTTATAAGGACTGTTATTTTTTAAGGCTGACATTGGTTATTACTTTTTACATGACCAGATATAAAATATTTGTGATTTCATCCCCTCTAAGTATTTGAAATAGAAAGCAACGAGCTTACTTCACTTTCCTATCATGAGAAGGAAACCCATTATTAAGATTGAAACAGTACATACTTGTTGCCTTTGCTTTCAACCTCTAATCGCGGAGAGTCCTCAGTGGATACATAATCTTTGGACCAGTTGAACTGAGAATTTGGAGCCATCTGATCACATTCAAAGTTCAGTGAAATTACTCCATCATCATCCACATTTACAACAACCTCTTTGGTTCCTAGAAGATCCAAAACAAGGCAATGATTATTTCCTGATAGAAATTAATGAAGTAAGAATTCCTTACTTTGGGATTCATTACTGTAGCCTTAAACCAGGGCCTTGAGCCTGCGCAAGGGAAAAGCTCCAGCTGCTCACTGTGAATGGACAATCCTGCTCTACAATTCAACTTTTATACTGCAACATGGAATTAAATGAATGTGCCATGTTTTTCAGGTAGAGCCAACACCGTGGACAGTATTCTTTGTCTAGGGCTGAATAAAAATTGGTTGATGTGACTGAAGGTACAGTTACAGGAGTAGGTTGGTCATAATAAGGGCAGCAAGGCAGCCTGGGGCAAAAGGAAAGTTGAGTGATCCTCATCAGGACTGAATCAATGACTTTTGCTTCATTAACATCCATATCCAACTGCTCATCAGGAAAGGATAGTTAAGAGATAAAGAAACCAATGGGAAATCGAAGGGGAGAAAGTGGAGGTAGTAAAAATTGCCTATGTTCATAGGCTTAACGTTATAAATCATTTAAAAATGGAGAACTACATGGAAACCTGAGGCCAAGATCTTGTTCTGTTGATCAAGCAACCATAAATCAACCTAAAGGTGCCCCTCTAGATTAGAATGACAGCGACCTAAGCATGACTGTTATTGAACTCTTTGGAAATTTAAATGAAAATGAATTTCAAGAAATCCAGATGTTTCAAGATTGGTTTTTAGGTTTAAAAGAAAACAATTCAGTTAATATTTTGAGTTCTTGTTATTTTTGAGAGTTATAACAAATTGCACTGGCATCTAATTTAGCAATTCAGAGTTTGTACAGCATATAAAATATTCACATCTATGCCTAATCCAATTTAAAAGGTAAGATGTACTTCTCAAATTGACACTCATTCGATTACCAGTCTAAACTCAGTTTGTTTCCATATGTTAGGAAAAATATATTTAATCTCAGAAAGGTACAGCTTTGTTTTTAAAAAGGCATTTAAAAAATCTTCCAATAGATACTGCCAAAAGATTGAAGGTTTTCTCTCTAAATTGTGTTTAAGAAGTCAGCATCCTGGCCTACTGTGCAATAAAACTTGTCAGGGGGAAAAATTGCAAAAATCCTCCCAGGGGAAGGCCAAGAGAAAATTAGTGCCCAAACAGTGTGTGGCAACATGAAGATCTTGGTTCTTAAGCCAGGCAGCTGATTTAATTTGTCTTTACAGATAACAGGGTGTGCTTTAATTATAAACCTTTAAAAAGTGATTTCTTAACACATGAACACTTAAAGAAGACTAGTTCTAGAGATTTTTAAAAATTATTTTTTAAAAAAACAAAAGAGTTATTTTCATATTTGGCTATAAACTGAAATAATGATCAAATAAAGATTTACTTATACTTGAGTGAAATGTCTACCACATGTTACTTTTAAAAAGAGTCTACTCCACTGGAAGTTGCAGACCATGTTTTAGTGCTACTCCTGATAACACATGACGAATCCTCACCATCCACTGTTGTATAAAAAAAGTGAAAAAGTGCTCTCATTGAAACTTAAGAAAAGACTAACATCTAAGAGGGCTGAGGTTTAGACAGTGTTATGATACAGAGCATGGTTGAGTCACAGAGAGAATACAAATAAGAATATTTCTTTATATCTGTATTATTATGAAGAGGAAAGAAGTGATGGAGGTTGACTAAACCTTCCTTACTATTTGCATAATAGCTATTTTGGAGGCATGACAGATTGTTCATATTAATCATTCATTGTCTTCTCTGTAATCCTTTTTGAAAGGAAGTGAATCATCCATATGCTTGCTGTTTATTATATTGGAGGTATGATTTAAGCTTACAACAGAAAAAAATATTGCTTAGGTTAAGAATTGTGATTTTTTTTTATTAAAGTGAAAGATCTGACTTTTTTTGCAAAGGAGTCACAAAACTGAAAGAATATAGAATAGTATAGTTAGCTTAGCCTTTCTCTCCATTCCACAGAGAACTTTTGCACTGTAACACTTCATCCATCTGGAACCCTGCCCCAAACCAAGAAATGAGGAAAACAAGCCTCTAAGAGGCAGCAAGGATGTGACAAAGTCCACACACTAATATTCCTGGACATTCACTGGCGAATTCCATAGATTGTTCCTTGGAATCTATTTATATTTCACTTGAGATGATTCTAGAAAGTTGGTTGGTTGGTTTCCATCAGTAGATTAGACCCCCAAAACAGAGGGAAGTAAAAAGCTACTACCAGCAGGCACACTGAGAATGAAGAAAATGAGAGCAGGAGAGGAGGCAGAAAACCTGAATGCCGGCACAAAGACATTATTTAATAGAGGAGCAAATGGCTCCTCACCCCATAATAACATCACTGTATCCCAACACTGTACAATAAATGAGGTTGATCCTTATGGCCCTGAGTCACACAGAAAAAGGTAAATAAGATTCAGTATACTGCATCCAAGGTTGAAAAGGACATACTAAAAAGTCTGATCTATTTTACAAGAATTTTCATCAAAGAGTTTTAGAATGAATTTTAAAGTATTGATGCTTTAGCAGTAAATTCTCAGGTAAATGGAACAACTGGGAATTTAGAACAATAATTTGTTGAGGTTTTTTTTTTAATTGAGGAAAAATATATTTTATATAAGTTTATAAGATTATATATAAGTTTCAGGTATATAACACTATAATTCAACATCTATATGCAGTACAAAGTGATCACAACTAAAAGTCTAGCTACCATCCATCACCATACAATTGACCCCCTCTACCCATTTTGTCCACCCCCCGACCCCTGTTCCCCTGTGGTAAACACCAATCTGTTTTCCATATTTATGAGTTTGCTTTAGTTTTGTTTGTTCATTGTTTTATGTTTTTAGATTCCACATTAGTGAAATCATACGGTATTTGTCTTTCTCCATCTGACTTCACTTTGCATAATATCTTCAAGGTCCATCCATGTTGTCAAATGCCTTTTCCGCATCTATTGAGATGATCATATACTTTCTAGCCTTCATTTTGTCAAAGTGGTGAATCACGTGGATTGATTTGCAGGTGTTGAACTATCCTTATATCCCTGGAATAAATCCCACTTAATCATGGTGGATGATACCTTTTAATGTATCATTGAATTTGGTTTGCTAATATTTTGTTTTGGATTTTTGCATCAATGTTCATTAATGATACAGTCCTTTAATTTTTTGTGGTGTCATCTGGTTTTGGTATCAGAATAATGATAAAATGAGTTTGGAAGTGTTCCCTCCTTTTCAGTTTTTTAGAAGTTTTTTTTTAAGATTTTATTTATTTATTTGAGAGAGTGAGAGAGAGAGTGAGAGAAAGCACAAGAGGGGGGAGGGTCAGAGGGAGAAGCAGACTCTCCGCTGGGCTGGGAGCCCGACGTGGGGCTCCATCCCAGGACCCTGGGATCATGACCTGAGCTGAAGGCAGATGCTTAACTGACTGAGCCACCCAGGTGCCCCTTTTTAGAAGAGTTTGAGAAAGATAGGTATTAAATCTTTGAATGTTTGAGAGAAGTTACCAGTGAAGCTGCTCTGGTCCTGGACTTTTGTTTGTTGAGAATTTTTTGATTAGTGGTTCAATTTCCTTACTAATAATTGGTATATTCAGATTTTCTATTGCTTCATGAATTAGTCTTGGAAGATTGTATGTTTTGAGGAATTTGTCTATTTCTTCTAGGTGGTCCTCTATGTTGGTGTATAATTGTTCATAGTCTCTTATGGTCCTTCATATTTCTGTGGTGTCAGTTGTAACTTCTCTTTGATTTATGATTTTATTCGAATCTTCTCTCTTTCTTTTCTTGGTGAGTATAGCTAAAGGTTTGTCAACTTTGTTTACCTTTTCAAAGAACCAGCTCTCAGTTTTACGGATCTTTCCCAATTTCTTTCTAGTCTCTATTTCATTTATTTCCATTCTAGTCTTTACTATTCCCTTCCTTCTACTGACTTTAGGCTTCATTTGTTCTTTTTCTAGCTCCTTTAGGAGTAAAGTTAAATTGTTTGAGATTTTTCTTGTTTCTGGAGGTAGGCCTGTATTGCTATGTATTCCCTCTTAGAATTTTGCTGCATCATCCCAAAGGTTTTGCTATGTAATTTCTGTTTTCACTTGTCTTTAGGTATTTTTTATTGATTTTCTTTGATTATCTTGATGACCCAATGGTTGTTCAGCAGCATGTTATTTTTTTTTAAAGATTTTATTTATTTATTTGACAGAGAGAGACACAGAGAGAGAAGGAACACAAGCAGGGGGAGTGGGAGAGGGAGAAGCAGGCCTCCCGCTGAGCAGGCAGCCCCATGCGGGGCTCGATCCCAGGACCCTGGGATCATGACCCTAGCCGAAGGCAGATGCTTAACGACTGAGCCATCCAGGTGCCCCCAGCAGCATATTGTTTAATCTCAAACATTTTTGTGGTTTTTCCAGTCTTCTTATAATTGATTGTGCTCACAGAAAATACTTGATGTGATTTCAATGCTCTTGAATTTATTGAGACTTGTTTTGTGATTTAACATGTGATCTATCCTGGAGAGTGTTCCATGTGCAGTTGAGAAGAATGTTTATTCTGTTGCTTTTGGATGGAATGTTCTGCATACATCTATTAAGTCCCTCTAGTCTAATGTGTCATTTAAAGCTGATGTTTCCTGGGGCGCCTGGTGGCTCAGTTGGTTAAGCGACTGCCTTCAGCTCAGGTCATGATCCTGGAGTCCCGGGATCGGGTCCCGCATCGGGCTCCCTGCTTGGCGGGGAGTCTGCTTCTCCCTCTGACCCTCTCCCCTCTCATGCTCTCTCTCTATCTCATTCTCTCTCTAAAATAAATAAATAAAATCTTTAAAAAAAAAATAAAAAAAATAAAGCTGATGTTTCCTTATTAATTTTCTGTTTGGATGATCTATCCATTGATGTAAGTGGGGGTGTTAAAGTCCCCTACTATTATTGTATTGCTCTCAGTTTCTCCCTTCAGGTCTGTTAATATTTGCTTTATATATCTCGGTGCCCCTGTATTGGGTGC